AGCGAGAGAGAGAGAGGGATGAATTAATGATGGCAAAAATAGCGCGCGGCGTGCGGCCGAAAATAATCCCGGTGCTCCTTTATTCGTAATCTTCGGAGCATTTTTCATCGAGCCTTCCTCTCCGTTTATTCTCGAACGCGACCGCGGCGAGGAGAAAAAAAAGATGAGGCACCCGAAGCGTCGTGCGGGACAATAAAGACGATAACGTGGACGATGAAGAGAACGGACAGCGCATAGCGTCGGATAATGGAAGGATCATTATTTTCGCGAACAAAGTCCGCGTCGTCGTCGGGTCGCCGCACCGTGTCGTCGTCGTCGTCTTGATCGTTGCCTGAGCGCGCGAGCACGCTTTAATTAACACCTGCCCCAATTAGAGGAGAGACGCTACCAAAAGATTCTGAGCGCGCTTTGACTTTCCCTCCCTTCGAACAACCCTTTATGCGTCGCACCACAGTCTCGACTTCCACGTCTCGGTATCGCGTCTTATCGCGCTCGCGGCGGTTCCTTCCTGCTACTTGTTTCCCCGTGAATAAACGTCCGCGTAACAGTGACCTGGTTTGCCGTCACAACGACACAATTTACTCGACGCGGACGCGTTTCGACGAAATTGCGGGAAAAGGACACGCGGCGTATTCGGGGTAGGCGTGTAATGGGGAGAAAGTAGGGTAAAACGGGGCGCGAAGCAAATCGAAGTACATTATATATACATATATACACTCGCGATACAGAGTGGTGATACCGATGAGTTTGTCGGAAGAAGAGATAGGAAGAGTTTTACGTTTTACAAATGCGCGACATCTTGCTCGAGACTTTCATCCAGGCGTCTCATCAGCCAGTCTCCGCGACATTTTTATCGGATTTCTTCGTCTACGTCTTCGCGCGCGAAAATAGACGATCGCTCGATTTTACCGCGCGCGCACCACCCTATATACAATTTTACCCGCGTCAAAAGTTGCTCCTTCGTTCGGAGGTAAAATTGTGGAAGAAGAGAGCACGTAGAGCGCGCGCGACCGTTCTATAAACGCGCCGTAATTTCAAGGCGCGTGGGTCGCGCGTCGATAATTTCTCGCGAAACGGGAACAGGACACATAGTCTCTCTCCCACATGCACACACACACACACACACACTCTTCTATCTTTCTCGTGAGCCCGCGCTGCGCTTCCGCCGTTTCTTTCCCTTTTTGCGCCTCGATTTGTCAGGAGTATTAATCGCGAACGCGATAACGTCGTTGCTCGTGCTTCGTGCATGACAAACGACACCGATATGGCGTGCCTGCACGAGCCCGCCGCGCGTTGTTAAAACGGAAGAATGTATTTATTCTACGTGTTTCACGAGCTTTCTACAAATTAACTTTCCGCGGAAACGGATAGGCAGGAAGGAGGACGCGAAAAGGGGATAAGAAGGCACAGTGCATGACAGGAGGCGTGCAAGGTGTGCATCAAAAGTTTTGCAAAAGTCCCACGCGTTATCCAATTATCCCGGAATCACGTATACGCTTCGTAACGCCCTCAATTATCCGACCCGGATAAAACGTCGCCCCGTCGCGTCGACGGAAAAATTCTACGTACGCGGGAAACGACGGCGTTAACGAGAGAGAGGGGAAATATATTTATTTACAAAACGACCTCGCTGATTACTAAAGTCAGCGCGCGTTCGTTTACTCCATCTACGGCGAATGCGTTTTAGAGTTACGTAACAGCGCGGTTACGACGTTGCTTGTTTCGCGCTGCGAATAACGACACCTCTCTCTCTTTCTCGAAAATTGGAAAATGACGTTCTCACCTCTTCGCGAGGTAATGATTAATTTTTCCGGCGGGGATTTTCGTCGAAAAGTAGAAAATCGGAAACATCGACGAAATCGTCCTTCGCCGTTTTGTTATCGAAAATACTATGGATTATTTAACCGATAGAAAAACTTTGCCGACGAATGAATCGTGCGCGGAATCGTAAGAGAAATTCCGGTAAACGTGTCGCGAAGATATTTCGGAGAAAAGAGATTCCGCGGATAGAAGACGACATTGTATGCAGTCCGATGCACCTGCAGCTGCGTATGTGACGCTTATATATATTTTACGAAACTTTTTTCTTCCCTTATTGTATCCGCGCCGGCCTAAATCCCCTTTACGCCTGCACATTTAAAAATTGTCGGGCGTGTTATTACACCGCGCGCAAAGCAAAGTATAGCGCGGACAAGTATAGCTACGAATGATATTTTCTCCCGGCTAACTTTTAAGTACCGAGAGAACTTGAAATGCGCACACACGGCCTATCTTTACATAGTGGCGCGGAATTGCCGCGGGCACAGTCGGAAAAGCCGGGAGATCCTTTAAGGGTAAATGACGTTTTATTAATGGCCCTCCCGTGGATATATATCTCGTAATTCCGCCCGCGAATTCTCCCGCGGCAGGACCGAGCAATTTAGCGCGTCTGAAAGTTTCAGCGCGTCGCGAGACAAAAGAGGAACATCCGCTAGGAGGACCTCGCGAAAATAAAGGGGAAAAAGGGAGGAAAAAAAAGTGGAACGGATACATCGATAAAAAATGAATAATCGGCTCTATTTTTCTGTGATTTATCGCGGTATAATCCACGACGGGATACGCGCGATTCTAAAATCGCCGACGATAAAGGTTAACGTCGTCTTCGTCAGGTCGATGCGCCGGGTGAAAAGCGTTAGGACTTTCCATGGGTGACCCGACAACCCTTCGGGTTGTGTCTGAAGGTGAGGTGAAGGACCGGCGAGCGAGCAGGATCGACTTTCGTCTGCTCCGATCGAGAAAACGACCATGTTTTTTTCATCCCTCGTCGAAAAAGTTGGCGCACCATCATTTGTCCAGCTAGATTGATTAAAAATGCTAATGGGACGATGGAAGAATATTTATCTAGCCGTACATGGTACAAATAATTTTGCTTAATTTTTTCATGAGATGATTTTTAATCAATTAAATATATATAATATTTTAATTAGGCGAAGATGCATAAGGAAAGGAAAGTGTAAACAAAGGGACAAGAAAATTCTGAAATAAGATTGAATGAGATAAATCGATGTATCTAGGAGAAAAGTTGTATAATGTATAATTGAGCAAATACCGTCGAATGTTCTCTCTTTCTCTCCCTATCTCTATCTATCTATCTATCTAATACAAATTACGTCAATGTCCCGTAAACTCGACGTGATACGAAAACTTACTTTCAAAGACGACGGCGGTTAATTTTGGCAAGCGAACATGAAAGCTTGGAACGATATTCGTCTAGATAGCATCGGGAACGGAAAACCTTTTCGTCGTAAATTATGCGAAATCTGACGGACGCCGAATTGAAATCTGTCTCAACGAACTTAATATATTTATCTGTATTTCTAATATTTATCAGCGACAGACAACCATCGAACGCTATATTAATAATAAAACGAAGCACATGAATGTTATAGAGCATTAAAATACAATTAAATAAATAATACAGAAAATATCGGTACAATATAAGTGTAATGTAAAAGAGTCGATTTTTTCAACATTATCGAAACTCTCGTTCATTAAATCAAAGTGAAACAAGATCAGGGACGCGACATTATTGTCTAAACGTCTCGAAGAGCGAGAGAATGCTGATACGGAACGGTCCGTTGTGTTCGTGGAGAAGACGAACAAAAGCCCGACAGCGGTACTTTTTTTCCTATTAAATAGCCGAGCCCACTGCACATCAGTCTCCGGGGATAAGATTCATACCGTAAGCGGCTTAACATTTGTTCACAGCGGAGCGAGCTGGAGCTTCATGGTGAGACGAGGGTCTCCAAATACATTTCCGCCATTCCGTTTTCCAGGCGGTCTACCTCAATTTCAACGTTGCGTATTGCACAGATATAATAGAAACATTATTTAATGCAGCGCACGTGAATACGTATCCAACATTTATTTCTTTTCATACAAATGTGATTATATAATTAAAGAGTAACAAATGGGCAAAGAGCACGTACACGATCTTAGTGTAAAGTTGTAATAAAGTAATCCATCTTCAGTGACAAACTTTAGAACGCGCTCTTTGCCCATTTGTTACTCTTTAATTGTTATTTACCGAGCCTAACTAGTAAAAAATGTGATTATATTCTCAAAAATGTCTGTAGATGTAATTTATGTCTCGTCCGGCAACAGATCTCTTCCTCGCCATTTTCTCGCGTTGCATAAGTTATTTCAAGTTGAGAAACTTTGGGTCGCATAAATATGAAAAGAAAACTTAAACACACACACACACACACAGAGACACTCACATCTAAGAGTTGGATATACGCTCACGAAAGATTAAGGAATTCGCGAGCATTCAGAAGAGACTCGGAGAATTAATTTAGATGAGACCGTAGCGGTCAAAATCTCACGAGAGAGAGAAAGAAAGACGGAATGAAAACGAGAGAAATAGGACGACGACCGTAATATCTGAGATTGTTTGGAGCACGTATAGAAAACGTGGACAAAAATAACGAGAGCTTTAAAGTCCGCGCTGCGGAGTTTTTTTTAACGATCATTAAGGAGCACGAATGATCAGGAGACCCGACACGCTCTTACGAGGGTGAAACGCGATGTTTAAAGTTTCCCTCGACCTGGACAGGACATCGCGCGCGTCATTCAATTCCCAGAGAGGATATACGTGTAAAGAGCGTGAAATTCGTCCACGCTTGCGAGACGATGATCTCGCGGAGGATCTCGTCGCCGACACCGAACGGCGGAAGTACGGCGGAAGAAACGACAGGGAGAAGAAAGCAGGGGTCGAGGGTGGCGCGAAAAAAAAACAAAGGAGACGAGAGAAGAGCGGGAAGAGAAAAATTTGGAGCGGGTGCACAGCGCCGGTGCGAGCGAAGCGGAGCGCGCAAAGCGAAGCCGAAGGGGTGGAAAGCATCGGCGGCGGAAAAGGCAGAAGGCCTCGAGGAAGGAGGAGGCTGACTGATCGCCACCGGAGTAGAGTAGAGAGAGAGGAGAGTGAGAGCACGCCTGCGCGGAATCCCCGGGCGGGCGCGGGCAGTGCCACCGGAGGCCCGGCGGTTTCAGAGCTTCGCCCGGGACGACAAACCGCGGACGAGCCGAGTGCGGGATACCCCGGTCGCGTTTCACAGTCTCCGTCGACCGATCCGAGGTATATACCGAGTGTCCGCGCAGTAAAAAAATCGCGGGGTAAAAAAGAAAGGGAAAGAGGGGGGAGAGATCCCGATTGTGAACGTCGAGGTAGACCGATTCGTGACCTTGGTGCGCGCGACACTTTTTCGGTCCTCCGGTGATCCTCCGGATCGGTCGGATATAATCCCGAGCGCTCGTCTACAGGACTCATCGATCTCGGCCACGATCCGCCGGCACGTTTCGGTGATCCAACGGCAACGATAATGTGATATCACAGTGTCGTGAAAGGAAGGAAGAGAAAGAACGAGCAACGCGGGAGTATGCGCGACTCTTGGTAGCGGAAGGCTGGAAGATGAACGGGACGACGACGGATGATTATTAAGCAGAGGAAACGACGGGAGAAGGGGATGCACCGAGGTGTTCCATGAGATGTCAGTGGATCCAGGGACAGTTTCGCCAACGTCGTCGTCGTCGTCGTCGTCGTCATTGTTGTCGTCGTGATCACCATGAGAAGGTCCTCCTACGTCAACTACTACGTCCTGTGCCTCGTGTGCTGGATCCTACTAGGTATTAGCGGTAAGCTTAACATCTGTCGCGAGAGATCCGTCGATCGCGCGCGAAAGGCCAGGTTATGAAGAGGAAGACGCTTCGGTAGGGGGGATGCTGCGATAGCGGCAACTCTCGATTCACGAGATGCGTGTAAGGGTAGGTAGGCTACGATCGAGCCGTCGATATTGTCGCACGGGGAGGTGGGGCACTCTCGCCGCGGATGGATCGATCAGATTTTGGGGTGTAGCGATACGTTGCATACGTTCTCTTTCTCTCGGACGCGTTGGTGCGCGTCGCTTCTAACTCCCGCTATCGCGAACCAAACAGCGAACAGGGGAGACATACGCGTAGGACAAGTTCTCGGGAATGCTCGAGAATAGATAAGGATAAAAGAACGGAAGAGAGAGAGGGGGACGCAACCTCCGGTCCCGGTCCAGGACCGTATCTAGCGCCACCCTTGTTTGTCGCGCCGCAGCATTGTACCACCCTTTCCGTCTCTCTTTTGTCCCTTCGCTCCCATCGTATTCTCTCCTCTTTGTCGGCCTCTTCTCGTCGTCCGTCCCTATGGGATCTCTGCGTGTCGTCTCGATGATTCCGTCATCGGGGGATGAAGACAAGGAGGGAGACTACCCCCTTTTTACTCCGCTGTGACGTCGTTCAGGGACGTGTCTCGATCGATTTCATCTCGCGCGGCTGCATCATCGCGATGCGGTCGCGTTTTAAAGCACGCTCGTGAAACAGAAATATCATCACATCCATTTATGTATGACAGGAGAGCGCGTATTTACGAGATGGCCTGGCGAGATCGTCCAGATCAAACTCGACGACTCTTCTTTAAACATCAACTCCATCAAATTTGTCGAAAGGAGCAAACTTTGGAGTAAACATGTGCGAACATACTCTGAGACCGATCTTTCCTCCCTACTAAAGTATCGGAGCTTTTGGGGATAGAGATGCATCAACTGCGGAGAATTAGTTTTCAAAGACTTTCTAAATAGGCAAATATGTGACTTTGCTTAATCACGAGTGACGCGATCGCTCGCGGTAAAATATTTGACGACCTCGTTCGCAATCAATTCCGGAAGCGCCGATAAAATCGAATTATTATCACCCTGGACCTCGCCCGTCTTTCGTAGCCGCGTGGAATGGAAAGTCCGTCGATCGGTTCGAACGGTTCGTTCAATAATTTGCTCGAGTATCGGCGTAGTTTCTCTCGTAGCGAACCACTCGAAAAGTACGCTAATTACTCTCGACCGCGCGAGGAGCTGCCGCGAGAGAAGTTCAGACTCGGTAATGGCGGGTTTATTCCGGCATCACCTCAACGTGATACATTATACGCTCTCGATCTCCGTAGCACTAGGCGTGCCGCTACACGATCGTTGATTATACCTCACCGGTGATTAACCGCGGGCCGTTTCGCTCGTTCTCCGGAAATAGAGAAGTTCGACGCGCTATCAACGCGGCTGCCGCAACTCGGGGTTGTACTACTGATTCGAGACGTAGCACGAGGCGCGCTCGAGACCATCATTTTCCTTGCGCAAAATAGATTTGCCGTGGATGGCCGAACTTGGAGGCATTATTGAGGACATTCGAGAAATTGCATCTCGCTTCTTATCTGTAACATAGATTTCATAATTTATTTTGTATGAAAATTATGATAGGAAAGAAAGGGAGAAAAAAGGATTGTTGCATAGAAAATGCCACACACTCGCGTGTGACATTATAAATTATTCTTAGCGCGAGGGAAAGGATTAATATACGATCTCGCACGTTACGGGAATATTTCAATATAAGGCCGTGTCGCGAGCTGAGAGTTATTATAAAATCACGTCACGCGTCGGAGGGAAATAATCTTTCAGGAGCTAAAAACTGGGATTTATGTGGCAGTTTAGTACACGATGACGTCGTAAAACTGCACGGGCATGCGTACGTGTCGTTCTGATAAAGTGGGAAAGGAAACACCGGACGTAGCTTGGAGTCTCTCCGCACATCGGGGTGGCTTTGTCTCTCGGGAAATATATACGATTTTAGATTCGTCTTCTGTTTCCGAGAAATTTACTTCTTCTCACACCCTTCGTCTCTCATCTCGCGATCACGTTCCACCACGCTCGATTACACACAGCGGGGGAAGACACCTTCGCGACTTATTGTTGCGCAAAGTGGAACAGATTTATATAAAGAGCTGCGACAGAGATTTCTCGAATGCTTGTATTTTTTATCCTTCAGGAAATTCGTAACAAGAAACGACTTTAATAATATATATATATATATAGCACGATTCTGCTTTCACCCCTCGATTTTACCGCTTTCGGAAAATACTTTATATTACGGTCTATTTCAACACTCTTAAATAATGCACGATCGCGAGAATATCGCGCTGCCGTCCGAGCTTGATGGTTTTTATCGGGATCTCCGGTAAACGGGGCGTACGTGATTTCCACGCACCCCTCTTGCGAGGGAGGTCGCGCGACGGCTCGGGGTGCGCAATCCGACTTACAAAACGTCGACATGAATAATGCACCTGCCAGTCGCGCCCACGCTCGTCATCGCATTCACGCCCAGCGCATACATAAACGCATTCGATTATTCATTAATGAGAGTGCTCGCTTCGGACTATTACGTTGCAAAATTATGTGTTTCGCAACAACAACATGATGTATACTTGTATACGCCGTGTGTTATCCGACCTCTCTGTGTCCTCTCTTGCGCCAGGAGTGTTCCTTTTTTGTCCCCCGATTTAATCTCGCGATAAGCGCGACTATTACGCACCCCTGACGAGCTATCGCGATCTTCGCTGTAATTCGGCTCGCCGCACGTCGCACGTGAAAAATACGTTCGGGGTGACGTAGGCAGGTGCTATCTATATAGCGTATATACGATATTTGTGCCCTCTTTCGCGGTAGGCAAATGATCCCGACTCCTTCGAGAGGGGGTGGACTTTATCGCGCGTGCGCGCAGCTGCGCAGATTTTACGTTCCTCGCAAAGATCGACAGGATCGACTGGCGTGAGAGGAGGACCGATAAACGGGCCTCTCGTATCTCCGACGGCGTTTCACAATACGTCCCAGGCGCGCTGATTGCCAATCTAGACGGCCCTTCGTACACGGAAACGTGTCGAGCAGACGGATTTCATCGGCCACGAAATTCACGGAGACTTCCGACGGATAATGGCGTGATTTCGCTGCTAGAACGAGGCGGCTCGTTTTTGTCGCGAATGATGATTACCTCGTTCATCGTTCTCCGGGATTATGTCGTCGTGAAAAAAAGAGCGATGTATGATAATAGGATGATAGACTTTTTCTCCTTGAAGGTTGAAGATGATGAATTTAAGGGTGGATATATAATTTAGGAATTTCGTAACTTTCTCTCACATTCTCCTTTTCTTTGGAATTATTTTAAATTCCCATTTGCAAGGAAAATGAGGAAAAAACTTTGTTTGAAATTATGTGGGAAAACAAATCGACGAAAATTCTCGCAGCCATTATTTACCTCGCATACCTCGCCGATTATTCGTCGAGATTAATTCATGATTCATTACCCTGCGTTTAGCTCGACTGAAACAATAATTAGCGCCGTTACAGAGGCTGTGATTTTCCTGCGCATAAGTAGAACAATCGATGGGCGATAAGTCGTGTGGAACGAGGTTTGCATCGTTATACGAGCGATTTCATATTTATTCCTTATCACGTCGCGCTTATCGCCCTCGTGATCTTAATTAAGCGTAATTATCAACAGCTTTGTTGTTTGTCAAAGTTTCGGCAAATCTTGATAGCGTGACGACACATGTTTCGCGTCTTACGTAATTCAACCGACTCGGAGGAATTAATAACGTCGGCAACTGCACAAATCCTGCTTCTGCCGCAATTAATAAAATAATAAATTAACATGTAATCAAATAATGAAATGATGGATGAAGAAAGTAAAATGAGCTACAAAAATTACATTTCAGATTTCTTTGCGCAATTAATTTATCGATTGATTCAACTGTGCTTCTACAACGTGTTAAATATATATTCTTCCATCGTGATTCATGGATACGATATTTTACACTTAGCTGGCAACCGTTCCTCGATTATGGCTACCCAAACAGCCGTGCGAAAACCAGAAAACTAGGATTTCGCTTTTCGGATCGAACATTAGATCGGATCGTGATATCATCAAGGTCGTTGGAACGACGCCCATGTCTCTCTCTCTCTCTCTCGCCGAATGCTGATCTGCCTTTAGATTTCCCCGGATCGGAATCCCCGAGATTAGTATCCATTTCCCTCGGGGACGGCACCTTGGCTGAGTCCTCCGCGATAGGATTTATTCTGAATAGCGTCGAGACGCTCGCGCACGAGCGGACGAATGCGGAATAGTAGGTAGAGTCTCGTCTGCCCCGGCCTTATTATTCCCTCGCTAACGCTAACGTCGCTCCTTCCATGTTAATTTGCCGCATAACGTGTGCCGATGACGGGAGGCCGGCGATGCGGGCGAAATTATACGGAGGATTTTAGGGATGCAGCGCCGATAATTCGCACGGTTCACGCATTCGCGATTCGTTCTTGTAACGCAAAAATATACCTGTATATACCTGGTGTGCTCTCGTTCTATTTCCGCATTGCGCTCGAGTCTCCTCGTTTCGCGATTGCACGCAACGAGGCATAATGTATACATATATGTACACGCGAGACACCTTTTTGAGAGCAGGGCTTCTTTGCAGGGGTGAGTACGAGGTCTCATTCGTTGGTGAAGAGGTTCGACGGGATTTACACGGGGCCTTACTTTGACTCGAACACTCCAACGAATATCACAGCGCAGCTGGGCACTCACGCTTACCTACCGTGCAAAGTGCGGCAGCTTGGTAACAAATCAGTAAGTTTTTATTTCACGTACAATGTAATTAAAGCGTCGACCTGAAAACAACTGTGAGCGTCTCGGGAATCGAAATCTTGAGAAACGTGTCTAATTAGTCTGACAAACAAAAAATTAATGTCTCGATAGCACGAGACTCTCACAGCAGTTTTTACGTCTATTTTATGTCGTGTATGTAAATTACAGCGTCTTTATCTTGTGTAAAGGTAAATGTAGTATTCATACGTATCGATACAATTGTCAACGCGCCTTCGAATCGAGACCTAATTTGTCCTTGTCATATCGTCTCCCGCATCTTTAATAGGTCGAGAGTATTGCCTCTCATACGTTACGTGTATTGACAGTTTGATTTATTAACGAGCTTATTTGACGGATATCGGCACGTAATGGCGAAATTCCTGCCTGATGGTTCTCCGACAATGGCAACTCTATTTGAGATGCGATAACGATGACGTTAAAGAAACAAGGATAAATTATTAAAACTAAATCGAGCACAGGAGGGAGAGTTTGAAAGGCAATTAAGTACCTCGTTCACATTTCACATTTATTTCGTCGCTCTTTTCAAATGTACATGAAAGTGCTTACGCATCTCCATCACATTTTTTTTTTTTTTTTATCAAGATCGTGAATTGTGATCGACGCACAAAAAGAAGTTATTTTTATTCATTAACGGGAAGTAAAACATCGATTTTAGACAGCTGACAAGCGCGGTTCCATCAAAAGTCGATGGTCTATAAATGACGACATGATTAATAATATTTCATCCCCGCTTCTCTCGTGACGGATATAACTATCCATGACAGATAACCCATCCACGTGCCCCGTGCTGTTAAATCGTGATTCGCGATCGCGGTTTCCATCGTCGGATCAATTTACCTCGCTAATAAAACGCCAATCTGCTAATGATTCGCGTTTCATCCGGCGCCTCTCCGCACGCTCCCGCATCGCGAAATCGGTAATCTGAAACTTGCGTCGGGAGGGATGAGGGTGATCGTGATCGGACGCGTAATTCCCGCCGGCACGCAGGGTGCGCTCAAAGGTGGGCCCTCGTTAACGAACTTCTTCAACGTGCATACGCAGGCGAGTTCTCGAGTACAACCGAGTGTAGACCTGTCGTCTATTGGCACGCGGTTAGGTCGAGGGTTAAAGTATCCGGTGACACGCGAGTCTCGTATAATCTCGGCGCGTACTTATAAGGGTCGCCGCCGTCGTCGCCGCCGCCATTTCGATCCTTATCCGACGAATTAAATGTCCTCGTGCCTCCTCTCGCCTTCGTTTTTCGACGACACGGCCCGCTGCCATATTTGCGCACCAATCTAGATTTCCGTCGAGCGCGCGCGAGCCCGTCCGGTCGATGAACGATAAATTAAGCGCGCGAATAAGCGGGGAAGCGGAAGATTGATCGTTCCGGAATCGGAACAAGCCGGAATGTGAGCTTTCTTCTTTATTTTTCTCTCCCGCCGTATATCTTAGATGTCGCCGCTCCTTATACTCGCTACGAGCCTTTTATATACGCAACCTCAACTTTTTCCGCCTCTCTCGATATCCATTCATTTGCGAATAATGACTGGCCGCAGTCTGATGATTCTGAGATCAAGTTAATGTGATTAAAAGACCGAAGGTTGATGAAAACAAGAGTAAAAGGTCTCAGATATGTTTAGAAAATTCTTAAAGATATCGTTTGTTTTGTAAGAAAAAATGGGAAAAGAGAAAAAGTCTCAGTCCAAGTTAATAAAACTTCAGCTTAAGGCCGATAAATGTCAAGCGATTATAAATAGATCTTGGGTATAGAAAAAGAGTTTAATAAAAAATTTAATGCGAAAGATTTAAGAGGCGGTATAATTAATTTCGGCCAATTCGAAGGTTTCCTGGATCAGAAGAAGAGATTCGCATATCCTCTCGGTGGATAGAACCATGTTCATTCCGGACGAAAGGTTCCAAGCGATTTTCGGGGAGGCGGACACATGGACGCTGCAAGTAAAATATGTCCAGGCGCGCGACGAAGGCGAGTACGAGTGCCAAATCTCGACCGACCCGAAGAAGAGTCACATCATCAAGCTCAACATCGTCGGTGAGTGAAAATGTTATTCGCAAGCGATGGATATTCGTTTAAAGAGACAGAAAAAAAAAAATATTGAATAATCGAAAATATCGTGTTGCAGTGCCAAAGATCGAGATCTTGGGGGATCGTGACATGTACGTGAAGACCGGAAGTACAGTCGCGATACGATGCGTGATAAAGCAGTCCCTCGAGGGCCCGTTCTACGTTTTTTGGTACCACGAGGGCGATCGCGTTCTAAACTATCAGCTGCACAAGATCGACATTCAGACGAAGAGGATCGATCAAGATACGGTGAGCAGCCTCGTGATCCACAACGCGAGACGAGAGGACTCGGGTAACTATACTTGCAGCCCGAGTAACCTGGATAGCGCGAGCGTGCAGCTGCACGTGCTAAACGGTGAGTTTATATCACTTTGGAGAGGGAAAAAAAATGTGTGGAGAAATTAAAACTAAACATGGCAGTGAGTTCACGAACTTTTTCTTTTCTTTTTTTCTAAAAAAATACAGTAAACTTTTGCCATATATAATTCATGCGCTGTCGTACTTTTTAATACGCACGAACAGACTTTCACAAAACGCTTAAAAAATGAGAAATATATAACAGTTGCGCGGCACGAATATGGATCGCAGTTCTCACGACTGACTTTACTCCCTTGTTGTTTCGCGATGCAAATATATATCGAACGAATATTCCTTTTTTCTAGGGGAACATCCCGCGGCGATTCAAAGAGGCATCAGTTCAGCACCGGGTGGTTGTCCCACCCTGTGGTGGCTGGCAGGAGTGGTGACATTGTACTCGAGTCACGGCAGTCGCCCGTTCGTCCTCGTTCTTCTGATCCTTATGGTTCTCTACTCGAAAAATCCATCTTACTTTGCGACGGAACGATAATCAGGCAAGACTGTAAGGATGGTATACGCGTATAATCGATTATCTCCTGCTACGAGACCCCGACTACCTCGAGAGAAGAGATCCTCGACGGACCGATTTCCCGAGATCGGAAACAAAAAGGACGAGAGGGAGAGAGGATTAGGAAGATGGAAGGTAAAATGAAAGAGAGAAGAATAAAGATTCCGGAGGTAGTATGTTTTTTCTCGCGCGAAGTAAGAGTTAGAGGTTTATCTCGATTATCGAGACAGTGATCCGGCCGTTAGAAATTAGGACTTAGTTAATTATATGAATTCTTGTTAAATTGCTGCGAGAGCTATACGTGCTGGAAAAGCTACGAAATTTTTGACGTTGTCGAAAATATAAATTAGGTCGAGCTTGAATAAGATAAACGGGTGGTTCGTGAACGTGTTTTCAACATTTTCATTAAGGAATGGATCGTGACTAAAATCATTTTCATCATTTTTTACGCGCGTCAAACTGTTCATTGATTTTATAATACATTTTTTAGAAACTATATCTAAAATAAAATCATTATTTTAAGAAGAAACGCGTCTACATTTACGCTTTTACATTTAAATTGTTTCACGTACTTCCCGTTTGTATTAGCCCGACAAGATAGAAAGTTACGAAATCTCAAAGAGGAGTGCTCTAAAAAAATAATCGCGAGATCTTGTCGCGAGGGCGTTGGGTAGTTTCGTAGCGCCCGTTACAAGAAGGCGATAATGTGACGAGAAATATATGTAGGAATGAAAAGGGAGAGAGAAAGAGACAGGAAGCGAGAGAGAGAGAGAAAGACACGACATAGAAAAAGAACCATTTATGAGAGAATGGGAAAAAGCAGAAGAAAAACTTCGTCCGCGCCTCTCGAATAGAATTGAAACTTGTTCGATGAATTTTCGAAATGCGATGTGATTTATTATATTCGATAGCGACCGATTATAACAAGCGTGTCTATACTCGACGTCTATCGCATGATCTAGGATCGTCCAGAGATTGAGCGATCTCGGCCATTGTCTCTTAGATGATTTGTCGATATGCGCTCAAAATCGATTAGAATCTTTTGAAATTTTTAACAATACTGTCCTTCCAAAGTGGTTTGTGAAACACAAACCCGAGGAAGGACAGAGAGCTTTCAACCAAACGAAACGATTCTATTGGAAAAGATTTAAAAAATGTTATCAATATACGACGAAGGTAATATTCGAAACAAAATAACTCATATCAAGCGACGTCTTGCCATATCAAATTCAAATTAGTCGCGTAAAATGTTCCAAGCACAAAAACAGATTTGGAAACAAAAAAAAATATATATATATAGAGAGAGAGAATATCACATTTTATTAGTTTTACAATTTTGATTTAAAGGTTCATCGACCGAGATAACTGCCAGACGAGATGTCGCGATGGAAATTATCACTGCCCCTATAAATACGTTAATCTCGTTCAAAGACGACAAGCGACTCGAGACGATCCGCGATCAATATTTTATTAGTATTAAAAGCGCATTGAGTATACACACGCCAATCAAAATAATATCATACATCCGCGCATGCACAGGCGAATTTACCGCGACGTGGGCCTCGCAGACCGACACACATTATTCCACCGATCCACGTGGTTTTATAGAAAAAAAAATTGGAAGATCTTTTAGAAATATAGAGGAAATTTATATACACATTCTAAAGAGATTTTAATATTCACAGATAAAACTTTTATTCTTTCCTCTCAAAAGTTTTCGAAATTAATAAGATAGCTATCTCTCTATTAAACGTTTATTCACGTATTTACGACGTATTAAATAAGATATTTGTTCTATATAAAAAATTTACAAATGTGTCCTACTATAATCTATACAAATTTTATATATGTATTTTAAATAATGCTTTGATTCTTCTTCGATGATTTTTTTATGGATCATTGAATATTTCAAATAGGTATTTAATAATAGAGGCGAATACTTTCGGTAACTATACCGTTTTGATAACATCTCGCGTATTTTCACGGTTTTTGGCCCACGGCGTGCCTGCCTCTGAGCATGATCGGTTGTATAATTTAGCGAACGAGCGTACGGCTTTCCGGTGAGGTGCCCTTCCACGCACCCCCGCGAATTTGCTTTCTTCTCGCAAGTACTAGAAGAAATATACTGTTTTTTATAATATTATATATATAAATAAATATATATATATAAATATATATATACAAACGAACAGAAATATATATATGTATATGTGTACGCGCGCAAATACGTTGCACATGGGTGTTGAATATTGAACAAGTTTCAGCTCGCACGAACGAGGGGCGCATATAAAGCGAATGGGGCGTAAGTTCTCGTTGAGACAATTTTTGAGGGGAAAGTCCTGAAGAGATGTACGAGGGATGCGAAAGAGAGACTGACAGAGAGAAAGGAGAGAGAGAGTATTTGCATCGTATAAAAAACGCGAGGACATCGGCAGGAGACGAACGATTCGTTAGAATATCTACGATTCATGTGATTGTAAATAACATAATATAGCATATAAATAACGTAACGTTAATTAATGATATGCCGTACGTGTTACACACTAAAGAAACAAGAAAAAAATAAACTAAATAACGTTACTGTGTAATTTTTCGGATCGTAAAAAAAAAACACACGCATTGGAAAATGGGTCTGGCCGCCTGTGCTAACCGGCTCGGGAAATCACGCACGGTATCGCAGAAGAAGAGTGAGAGGGGAGTTTTTTCTCATTAAAAAAAAAAGGAAAAAAAACGAAAAAAAAAGATGCCGCGCGTATATAAATGTATACGATGTTCTCCAAAAAAAAAAGAAGAAAAAAAATCGTCCGAGACTTCCATTTCGATTCGAACATTCGCGGGATATATATCTCGAGATCGAAATGCGGAAATTAGGAAACGATCTTCACAGGCGTCGCGTCCGAGATATTATACATATATCTTAGACTTCTATTCGAAGGCTCTTTTTTTTTTTATTATTTCTTAAACGGGCGTGTCTTATCGCGTTATCTCGCGATAGACGCTCCGAGATCGTCGGAGCTCGCTGTCGGAGATTAGCGGGAAAAAAAGTCACGCGAAGATCGGAGGAACGCGAGCACCGGCGCGCACGCTTTTCCATGGCGCGTCGGTGCATCCGACATCCGAGTGCGGAAGGAAAGCGGAACGCGCACGTTTCTCCGTGAACGCGCTCGTGGATAGCACGGGCCGGCCACACGCGACTAGATGTAACACACTAATTAATGCCTAGCGTAAGAAAAAAATACTAATGGATATAAATGCAGATATATTGTGTCGGACATAATAACCAGGGCGCGGTGAATGCGCGAGAGCGATTGTATGCTATATACGCGGCTCGGATGCGAACGTACGGCTTTAGCACGTGTGCGTCTTGGATGAATCTGTTGCGCGAGAGCGACGAAAAGACTGAGAGAGAGAGAGAAACGGCGTGAAAGGGGATGAAAGAGAAAGAGAGAGCGAGAGAGAAAAATAAGCCACATGCATATATACACGCACACAAACACACATTTACACACATTTACACGCACATCTAAACGCGTACATTGAGAGAAAGTTCGTTGGACTGACGTATATTAAGGCGTTGGTCGAATGACACATTTTAAGATAAAAAGGGTCGATCGGGGATGCGGTGCAACCCTTATATCGTTTCCGTCTTTTCTTCTTCCCGCGCCTCGCGAGGCTCGCTGATACTCGACACAGATGAAAAGATCTGAAAACGATCTTGTGCGCGAGGCCGCTCTCCGTCGCGATTAAATTCTTTCGCGGCCCTCCTTCCTCCCTCTTCGACAGGGGCCTCCCCCTCGCGGGGTGGAAGAAGAAACGCAATTTTGCGCTCGTCCCCGTCGCCCTTTTGCTTCACCGCAAAAAAAAAAAAAAAAGAAGAAGTAATTTAAAGAGGAAAAATAACGAGACGGCGGGACGACGAAAAAAAAAAAAGAAATTCAATTGAGAGAGAATAACGTCGTCTTGAAATCTAATTCTAATGTAGAACAGCATTGAATTTTTGTACCAAAATCTATTGTAGTCCTTAAGTGTCGCGTATACTTCTTTCCGTTCGACGTTGCCGATCGCGGGCTTACTTATTTATTTCTGATTTTTCTCGAAACCACACATCGTTGGAGAACGGAAGAACGAAGAAGAGCTTGTTAAAGATATCTTCCTCTGTGCAAGCTCTCTTTGATCGCTGCTGTTAAAGCTCCCGAACCTTCGCTATACGAATATCGTACGAATCTTTTTTCCATTGCGATACTTACGCGTTTTCGTATCGCGAATGAATTTTTCGACTCGCGTGAAATAAATTCGCGGAGTAACTCGATAGGTGATACGCGGATCCGGGAGCTTTAAAAAAAAAATCCCTTCTCCGATCGATATCGCGCCCCAGCCGATGCAGAAACGCGCCGATTCCCGAGAGTCGCGGTACGAATTTCGAAGCGAAAACTTTGTTTCTCGAGAGTGATGTTTGTGACCGTCCTGACAGTACGTCGATGTGCTCTTACGCGTAGATAACACGGGTTAGATGTTATTCTGAGATAGTAAGCTATATACGAGAGATATTCGCGTTCGGGCGATGCGACATTGTCGTTGTCGGAAAAATGAAAGACGGGTGACCCAGAAATAGAGGAGAGCCTCCATCAGAAGCGAGGATTCCTCCAATTTTTACGTGATCCTTCCGTGTTGCCGCGCCATCAAGCGCATCTCGAAATTTTTTTTCCTCGAGAAAAGAAAATGAGAAAACATCGCTTAAATTGATTACGCGGGTCTGCGGATGAGAAAGAGAGGAAGAGAGAGAAAGAAACAGGTCATCGAAAATCGATCTCGAGTCTGGCGGCGAAACGAAATGTCAGGGAACTTTTTAGACGAACATCAAAAATTATAATGGCTCTGTGAAAATATGTAAAACGATTAGCAGCAATTTTAACCCTCTACCGCTTTTATCGCACTGAAAGATCTGGGTCTCTCTCTCTTCAAGATATCAATTATAATTGTAATTAAATCTCTTCGATCTTGATATGTATGAATTATTCAAGAATACGGTGCTTTATGTAGAAGCGAAATGGTTCGCTTCTTTTGTCCGAACGAGTATTTATTCTCGGCCGTGGAGGGTTAGAAGAGCGAATGATGAATTATTTGTCGTCCATCGACACCCTCGGGATGGCGGATACACTTCGTTGACGCGTCACCGATGACATTCGCGAAGAAACGCATCGTGCGATTATTACACGAACATTGAAGCTCCCGAACATACGACTCGACGATGGATTGTTACGTTCGTATCATTAGCAAAATAAATATATATGTGCGCGAGGATTATTTATATTACAATTATCGGGCGAATATATATGCGCGTATAAGAGAGATCGACGTCGTAAATCAGGAGCTTCGATCCATTAAATCCATTGCGAGCAATTGAGTTCGACAACGTCCTCTTAACGTTAAAACGAGGTCCTACGTTAACGGGCGTTTGGTTGACAGCACGCGACAGATCACACTGTAGTAAGGGTTCTAATTAATCGTTAACGCCACATGTCTGCCGATTCGAACGTTCGACGAAGGTAATTTGCGACCGTGTTTAGCCCAATAAAGGCTAGATTGAGAGAGATTCGAAGCAGGAAGGCAGAATTTGTCGAGCGCGCGGATAAGCGGACATCGATTTAAAGTAAGAGTAAGTTTAAAAAAAAAAAAACAGCAAAACACTCTGAAGATATTCCTCGAAGCCAAGCCTCGTCTCATGGATTCGCATCTGTACACCTTAAGCGCTTTAGGGTTAACGAAAAAAAAAATAGACTTTAACGAATCTACGAGATGATGCCGAGGAAAGAACGATTATACGGAAGAATATTGGAGCGAATGGGAGCGAGAGAATTAAAAATGCGCGATATGAAGTGCACGAGAGAACGAGAGAGCGAGAGAAAAAGTGAGATAGAGAGCGAGCGAAAGCGAGATAATAAATCAATGTTAAAAAAAACCCATCATTACCCAACTTTCGCAATTTCGAGACACAAATCTTCGTTGACCGCCGTTTCTACGCATAAGTTGAGTTTAGGAAGCTGGACGCTCGATCAACGTCCGATCGCTGTTGCACGGATGACAGAATGCCGGATTTCGAGTACGGAAAGAAATTTAATAATAATGACTTTGACCTTTTACCAAAGATGTGCGAACGCGATCGACGTCGAACGAAGCCTCGTCCACGTTTCACTCGGAGTATACTCTTTACATACGAATGTTTCAGCGTTTCCGTTTTTAAACTATCATGGCGAAGCGGGACGAAGAACGGTCCCGTTCTATGTGTGTAAGAACCATAAGAAGCTTAATAAAAGAAAAAAAAACATTATACTATGAACTTACGGGATACCTAATAAAAGTAAGCCAAACCGTTAAGAAAGAATGTTTCATTTGTTCCTCGAAACACGAAATTTCTGCTCGATATTACATTATACATGTATTATATTGTAATGACCTTTCACCTTATTGCGAAAGCGAAACATTTTATTGAGGAGCGAATAAAATAGACGTTATGTAAATTGAAATAAATTGTGCGAATGTCGATGATATCACAAAAGATCATATATATCGAATGTGAAAAGGTTTATCGAACTTATATATTAAATGCTTTGGTTTTAGAATAAAAAAAAAAGAGTATCACACCTTAAGTCTCTGGTCGATAATCACAGATGATCAGAGAGAGAGATCACTCGGATTTTTTATTCTTATCACGTGTCCTCATGCAATTCTGGATGATTTTTTCGAAGGAGGTGAGATAGAACGCGCTGACGATCCGGAGGAGACCCATCAGCGAAGCTTGCAGCAACAGCTCGCTGATCGATTTGAACGGCGACATTCCCGAGCACAACGTCGTCAGGATGAAACCATCCAAACCGACGGAAGAGAAGAATTTACCTGCCTGTAATACGTTATCGTTAAATATAAAGGTAAAACTAGAGTCGCTGTCTTTAGCATACTCACCAGCGCGTCCTTGAAAAGCTTGTCGGCGACTACCTCGGGCCTGACTAACGTTGACGTTTGTGATATGAGTTGGGTTTCCAGCGGCTTTGACAGTTCTTCGACGGCGAAACCAGGTGTGTCTGTATCAGGCGGTAAAGACAGTGTCACGGAGATATTATACGGTTTCAGTTCCATCGCTATGCTTTCCGCCAGGCCACGAAGCGCGAATTTCGTGCTGCAGTAAGCAGAGTAGCCAAAGATACCTGCGCGACATACAAGTTCTCGTTCATTTATCCCTATTTAAACAATAATATCGAATGATGAATATGAACTATCCATGCAAATACCTAGGAAAGCTGCTTGAGATGCCGTAAGTACGATCGCTCCTTCTCTGGAAGCTTTCATCCTCTGCGCGACGGCTTTTATGCAGTAATATGTACCGAGTAAATTGATGTGTATCATCTTGTCCAGACTCTCCACGGTGGTGTCTTCTATTTTACCGCAGATTGCGACACCGGCACAATTGACGAGCATGTAAATTGGTCCCATGGTTTTCTCGAGATCGACCAGCGCTTTCTCGACGTTTTCGTAATTCGCTCCGATATCCAAAGACAGATATTCCACCTTTTGTACATCCTTGTTCTCGCAGGCGTGCAGTATTTCGTTTTTAGCCGTCTCCAATCTTTGAACATCTCTCGCAATTATCGTGACATTTGCTCCATGTTTCGCAGCGATAATCGCTACGCATTTTCCGATGCCACTCGAGCCACCGGTTATCTATACAAAAATTTACACATGCAAAACTCATTAAAATAATGTATATATGATCCAACACTATTTTCTCACATTCTGTTTCGAGGTTAGACTTACCACAACGTGCTTGTTCTTGACGCTCCTTAGTCGTGGATTCCAGAAGAATTGTTTGACCATCAAGAAGACGATTATTAAGACAAACGCGACAAGCGTCACTCCAAGCCAAACAGACATAATTGGTTAATTTTTGTCTTCTCTAAGATAAATCGGAAGTGTCAAATCCGCAAACACTCTGAAACTAAACGCTATGTCATATTCTGTTTATCGGAGCACCGCGAGGTTTCCATTCCGAAGCAGTAACCCAACCGACTCACGATAGGTCTCGTGTAAACTTGGTCACCTACAATCGTCAAGTCAGGGTTCTCTAATGTTCAAACTCGGTCCGTTCACCGGAAACTTAACTTGGCGGCTGCTGATCTTTAAACGCAATCGATTGACATAAAAATTAAAATTTTATAAATTTTATTACACATGTTTTATTATTTCGTACATGACACTTAGTCTTCTAACGATCTCTTTTGAACAAGTTTTTATATTTATCAAGAGTTTGATTTGTTTACCGCAAACAAATAAATATTCCGTCAATGAATAGCAGCTAATATCCAACTCATCACTACTATCTCGTATTTATTAATAATCGCGATAAGATTTTCGAAATTAAATTAATTTTATTTGTCTTCGCGAATATATTGGATGTCGAAAGCGACTGCGTTTAACAATAGTTTTAGCTTAAAAAATGTTTTTAATAAAGAAAGCTTGACAAATATAATCGTATCTTTTGCTGAAAAAGAATCGCTGAAATTTCATTTTTCTCAATATAATTTGTTCGCGCTTGTTATATTTGTACGATATGAAACCATACGAGAAAAATATTGTGCGCATCAATTCTTCTTGGAGTTTGCCATCTGGGTTGCATACGAATAGATAGCAAAGAGCAGTCTCGAGAAATTCACCCTTCGCCGAGGGCGACTTATCTTTGCCTCGCTATATATCTTATAACGTAAGAATTTAATCAGCGCACCGAGAAAATCGATATACTATATAATAATAACATGTCGTAAACATTTGCGTTTAAAAATAAAAATTTAAAAATCAATACAAACGTTCCAAATAAATATATTCACCGATAAAATATTTCGAGATGTATTACAACATCTTTGCAACATGATCGATAAGCGCGAAAAAGAGCGGTATATAATTCTGATTTGTAATACGCGTGCGTATTTATATTTACAAATTTACAACTACGACGTGTGCATACGACTGCACATATCCACGAGGTCCAATCATCAATGCAACAGAATTCATTACGTTACTCAAGCCGCAACGGTTGACCTCAATGATTTCAGTTTATAATTTATTACGCGGGGTTAATGACCCGCTTGTGCAAGATTGATACACGGCTGGGCGATCGCGACAGTTAACGCAGTTCCAAAAATTCCTGCTTTAACGTATCAGACTCGCGTAATGATAATCGTAATATAATTTTCTCATTTGGTATCGGAGATAAGCGAAGAGAGAAGAGTAATACGCAAATCCGACGCGACACCAATGACGTCACGCATTGCGAACATTTCCGGAACGCATGCGTCGAAAAGTTGCAGGATAAGCCCCCTGGAGTACGTGCATTCACCCCCGCGTTACCATAGCGCAAACCTCCCCACCTCATCCCTGCCGTTATCCTTCGTGCAAAAGGTCACGTACCACCACCCTGTCGATCGTTCACCTCGTCCTGGGACTCGCTCCTGGTAGCCAGGTTAAAGCGGAAGATACGAAGGATACGTTTACGCACTCCGCCGACTTGCAAAGATCCTTATTTGGATGGATTCTTCAGGTAGAATCGGACAGATCGCTCGTGTAACAAACAGGAATATCGAGTATCAAACGCAAGATGCAGAAGGCTGCACAACGTTGTAAAATGTCGTCGTATGATGATCCTATAAATTGTTAGATTACAGTGCAAATTAAATTCGAGACTACCGTAATAAATTACATATTACTAGCAGACTAGGAAGTAACTAGTCGCTTAACGCTATTACATTCAACAATCTGCGCAGGCCGATTATCGCGAAGATGCTATCGGGAGTCATCATACGTATAGATGTTATCATCGCGTCATCATAATCCACCCTGGACTATGTATATCGTCGAATCAAGAATGAAGTTAAAATCCCTCGACACTTGAGAGAGACTATGAGAGTAATTTCAGCGGAGGGTAATCTCAGATAAGCGGAAGATCTACGATCGGATCCTCTTTTTTTCGAAGAAGGAGCGTCCCGTTAAATCAGCCGCGGAAAAAAAGTGAACGCGGGGGTGAGAGGGTGTATATCGCGACGGGAACCTCATTTCGGCCCCAGAGTCGAGGAGGGGCTGCTGCATGCAGGAGCTGCGGCAGTCCGGAGCAGCGATTTTGGACACGGAGGAGAACGAGCGTACATTGCACCCAACAGAAGGGAGTGTCCCGAGCCCTCTCCCTCCTTCCACCCCCTCATCTCTTCCCCTCGATCCAACACCCGGCCAGTACCCCGCCTGCCATGATAGCCTAGCTACGATCCTGGGTGTCTCCCGGGCTGCACCGGAGGGTGAACGCCCTTGCCTGACCCAGACTCGGAATCGATCTCCATTCGTTGCACGATGTTGGCAACCCCCTTGACGTCCCATCCACGACCAAGCGCGCGTCGCTGCCGCAACTCTCCCGCGCACCAGAAGCGGCCACCCTGTCGTCGTCGTCGTCGTCGTCGCACTCGCGGATTTTCCGCGAAACCTCGCCGCGAGTGAGTCCCATGCGGAATCGAAAATAAAGGACGCGACAGAGAAATGAGGAAAAACTATGCGGCCGGATGGCAATTGGACACGCGCATATTTACCGATGCTCAAAGCGTTTATTTATGTATACCCATCCACTGGAAAAGTTGGAAAGCCAAAATTCGATTTCGTCCGTGGGAGATCCGAGAGAGATTGAAGGAAATGCGATTTCCTCGATATGCGCGATATAATTTCCACATCCGTATACTATACGAGTGGTGGAGAATTTGTCGATTCTTCGTGAAACAAAAATGTCTGACCCGACTCGAAAAAGACCGCTTACAATCGAAATTATAAATCCGCAAAATGAAACTGTGACGTGTCCTATAATGGCGCAGCGGTATAAATCGCGTAATAAAAACTTGGAATGACCGATGATGGCACGCTGTCTATTCCAGGACTCGAACGCGCATAAATGCTTTATAGAGTTACTATTTCTAGTCTTCGCTTTCTCTGCAATAGTGCCCTATACACCTCTAGAACATCCGTCGCGAGAGGCATTTTTCTGAAAGACTCACCTCATTCTGCGTATCGATTCGAGTAAAAAATTCATGATATCCCTATGATTCTATCTCACCGAGATCTCTTAAACGGTTTACAACCAACTTGTCTTTACTTTAAACTAAGCCAGAAGTTATTTTCTTATCATCGCGCAAACATTAATTATTCATGAAGCCTACTACATTTTCAAATTAAGGTTTTTTGTTAAGGGTTTCACATTCTAATCCGTATATCCGTAATAAAAAATGAATCGGTAATTAATAAGAAAATATGCTTATTCAGCTCAGTTTGAAGATAAAAATATATGTCGTGCACCGTTTAAAAGATCGATGAGATAGAATGATCCGAGTGACGTATGAATTTTGAAACGCGCACCTCGCAGCAGAATGCGGGATGCATAGATGCAGTTAATTGATCGTTGACTGCAGAATTGCGGACTCTGCTCGATGTCAGAAAGCGTCGCGACAGCCGACGCAAAAGTTGCCGATGATAAATACGGCATCGAACGCGCGTATCTAACATCCGCGAGCAAGAAGCGGCGTACGCTATATCGGTGGCTCCGGCTGCGAAATGAGGCCATTTCACGCCCCTTCGTATATTCCCCCGTGCGATGCGTCCCCTTTTTCCACTTCAAGATACGTCAACGCTTCGCGGAACAATCGAGGGAGAGTTCAGTGCACCGTCGTCAGGGAGTTGCATACGAGTCTCTCTCTCTCTCTCTCTCTCTCTCTCTCTCTCTCTCTCGTCTCTCCTTCCTTTCTCCCTCTCGCGGTAAAATAGATTCTCGCCGGTGAGAACAACGCCTGATTCTAATGAAGTTTCCAACTTTTCGAGCCAAACCGCAATCCCAAGTGTTAGCAACGCGTGGCCCACAGACGCTCCGTGTTTATTTCGAAATGATTTCGATACACCGCGGCGCGAAATGACTCGAGCGCGGATGATACAGGTTCCAATTAAACTTTCCCCGCGACAACAATCTCATTTAATTTTTGCGCCACAACAACCCCCGGCGTCGTGTGTGCATTAGCCAATTAGCGCGCAATTTGCCGTGCTGCTTTTAAGCGGTCGGTTTTGCATCGACCGCCTTCATTAAAAAAAAAAAAAAAAAACCCGCGAATGGAAGATTCTGATTCAATCTGATTCGACCCCTAATCGTTCGGTCTGAACTTTCTTCTTTCGTGACAAACGGTATATACGCTCTCCAATTCGAAACATCGGTACCGTATGTCATTACGTATTCAAATTCGTCTAAATCACACCGCGTCGAGCAAACGAAATTTAATGTTGTACGTTAGCGTGTCTGCTACCAGTTTAGTTTGCTAGATTCGATAACGCTCGTCGAAATCGGTCGTCCCTTTTTCTACCTCGCGATATATAACGTCATCGGCGCTCGAAGTGATCGGGCTGGGTTCGTTGTACTTGGAAAGTCCCTCGAACTCGACTCGGTTGGCGACGCGAGCGAATTTCCCGCAGGAACGTCGACCGGGAGCTTTTACCGAAGTCTCAAACTCACCACCATCCGCCGCGTGTGTTCGTCAGAAAACTCAGACTCTCATTTAATTAATAGAATATCCGACATAGCTCTTCGCCGCTTCCATAAGTTTAATTTCAGCCGACGAAAAGTAAGGGTAGCAATCTCTGGGAAGCTTCTGTACAGCTTTAACGCTGCGTAGCGTAAACTTAGTTACTCGCAGATCTTAGAATCCCACGTCGCTTTATTATAACGCAGCGAGCATAATTTTGTTTTATCAAAAAAAATAATTATATTAAAACTGTACATAAAATATTCAAAATTGTATCATACTTATTACGTTCGAATTTTAGAATTTTGATTAATTCGCACGTCGAGGAAAAATGTTACATGTTTATCTCCGCGGAGAGAGAGAGAGAGAGAGAGAGAATCATCCCCCTCGATGCACCATCCTCCGCGGTGCAACGTCCGGGCGCGGCGTCCTTCGCATCTCGCTGATTTGAATGCGACTGCGGAGAATA